ACAAGAGGTCCTACCACTAGTAATCCAGTCTCCCCTGTTCTCGAAATCACGCGAAGACGGGGCTGCTCACTCAAACTTCTGGGATCACCCTTGGGTCAGGACCAATGTTGGATAGGGTTCGATACTTCATCACCCGGCTACCGTATCAAGACACGTCCAAAATATTTTTTGGAGTTTTCCCATCTTTTTTTTTATTGCCCTTGTAGGCAGACGAGCATACGGCCCAACTGATGGTGAGTGGTTACCGTTGCCCATGGACTTTAGCAATGCCAGGGGCAGAGCCAAGCCGCTGCCTACCGCATCTGACTACGAAGCCCTTTAAAACATTCATTAGGCTCATGCCAATTAACAATTAAAATCGAGGCTAGACCAAATTCTATCGTTTATTAGATTAGATGAAAATAATTTTGATTTGGTAAATTAATAGGCGAAAGTTTATGTTGTTCTAGATTTTTGCTTTTATATGCAACATGCCGAAGATAACTTACAGACTATTGTTACGACTCAAGACAGCAATCATATTTGAGCTGAAGAAACCGATGAAATCCTTTGTGTTAAATTGTCTATTCTATTACACGAACATAATAATATGCGTTACTGTCATTGATGTTTCACAATTGTTATAATAGCCTTCTTTATGAATACGTATTCATACAACAAAGGATTTCACTCGTGTCCGTTATGTAAGGCAAATTGTAAGCAGTTTAATTCAATAGAATGTCTGCGGGCAAAATTTGGTATAACATCTGTGTGTGTACATATAACTGGCATATATATACAAGTACACATAATTATATATCTGTCAATTGGGGCATTAAGAGACTTAAAAACATTCGATTTGAAATCACATTAAAATTATTTGTTTATTAATTCTTAATTAGATTCAAAGTATCTCAGGATTGCAAATTGAACACGCAAGTAGTGTTAAAGAAATAATATAAAAATAGCTAAATTTTTTGTAGAAACAAATAAATGTCGAATTAAATTAGATGTTCAGCCATTATCAAAGTTTATGACTGCACTATCATGATAATAAATTATTTAAATCAATTGACCGTACCGCGGAGGTATAAAGTCAAACATCGAACAATAAAACAAAATGAAAGCTGAAAATTTGTTATATATCTTATTTGCATTAATACAGATCACAATATTTGCAAATTAAGTGCAAAATATTGATAAACAAGATAGATAGAGGACTCGCCTCTTAAGATAGATATTAGTTTCAATAATTAATAGAAAAAACGTTGTAGCCTTTTGTGTTACAAGGATAAATTCACAGAAAAAATTAAAAGCGGTAAAATGTAACCTTGACACGTGGGTGGTGGGGAAAGTGAACCGACAAGATATTAGGCAAGGAGTGGAGCGTCTGTACGGCCTAAAGATTTACGCGACTTCTTTCACACACGTCCGATCCGTCATTGTTAAATGCAGTGCGTAATTCATACTCTTAGGACCCTATTTAAAACGTATGTAAAAAGTAATTATCCAGAAAATCTTCCAATGTTTTTTTTTAAATTAAGTTTTTTTATTTTTTTATTATAATGTTGAGGATAGTTTATAATGAGATTAGTAGATTTTATTTGTTGCAAATAATTGTTAAAAATAATCTCGAATCAGACGTTCTTGTGTGATCGAGCTTTAAATGATAGCTCATAATTCTTGAATTACTGATGCATTGTCTGCCTCCACAAATTAATTTCACCGTCACGTCTATTCCGAACACAAACCACTCGTAGGAAGGTAGGAAGAAAATATCCAATATGATGCATCGAAGCTAATTTGAGGCCTGTTTTATAGCTTTAAATTTTTTTTATTCCCGTTTTTTAAATTAATATAATTATTTTAAAATAAAAATTTTTCGTTTCACGTAAAATTTCGTTGTGAATAATTTTTCAGTCTAAAAACAGTTTCAATAAAAGCAAAGTCCAAGTTTAATAGTAAAAAAACTTATATTCAATATTAAAATGTACACTCACTCAACTAACATTAAAAAAAAACATGTCATAAGAAATATAATAATATAATAAAAGTAAAATCTTTTTTTTTTCTCGTCATTTTTAAATATGCCATATTTTAAATTGTTTAGGTACAATTCGTATTTCATCAAGGATGTCTGATGTATTCTCTAGTGTCATGTGCCGGAGGTGGTAGCGTGGCCAAGAAGTCTAGAGCTTTTTGTATCTCGGCTGGGACGGGCGGTGCTGTTGGCAAGTGGGCACCTTGTGGCTGGAACCCATTTTCATCCGCCAGATATTGGACGTGTATAACCTGTAAAAGGAGTCATTTTTAGATACGATTCTATTCATACATAACGTTACGTCTTTCATCTGTGGCAAGACCTTATGTATGCAGTATCTTCAGTAACTGTATAACTGACCCACCCTTTAATCCGGAATGCATGCATGCTTCGCGATAAAAATAGGCTAGACATAATATCAGTTTGTAATATGCCTTATAGCCAATAGGCTACTAATAAACAAATTCCAAAACATGGCAAATTGGATTTTTATTACACGATATTGTATTTTTTCCCCATTAAGGTTATTCGTGATAACGCGTTAAATATGGTATTTCCTTAGAAAAAATGGTACCTGCCTGCGGGATACAAATAAAATCGCCGCATCGTTTGATAAACCGGACTTATCCTTTAGACCACAACTACTTTTTTGAGATACATTTTTCAAGTACTATTTTTATTTCGATATGACGTAGTTTTGCGAAGCCAACATTAAAGTTTTATATTTTCCTCAATATTCTGCAATACTAAAGCTAATAATTCTTAGCTAAGTATAAAAAAAATACAACTTGAATATGAGACCGCTTTTTATATTTCGCATTAAGAAATCTTACTTACAAACTACAATAGTAATTCTTTAAAGGTCAATCATATTAAAACAAAGATATGCTAAATAATATGTATATACGAAAAAAGAAAAAAGGCACAGATGTTAGAAATTCCAGTCGAATCGTAAAATTTACTGCATCTCGCAAATTGAATTAGCATATCATGGTCTGAAACATATACTTTCACAAGTTCAATGGAATTCAAACGCAAGCGTTTCGAAACCAATGGCAAACGCGATTAGTGAACACGCTAAAGATTGCTTTATAAAAATAAACACTTTAATTAGTAAAACCTAACAGAGATAAAGGTTATATCAATATACCAATCCGAAAGGTCAACAAAGGAAACAAAACAACAACATATAGAATAAATACGTAGATTATAAAACACAGACAATATTTACATCTTAAATTGTCGATTCGAGTCGTTGAGACCTGATTTCAATGCTACCATAGACTGACAAAGTTTGGTCTATTGCGTTTTAAATACATAAGTTGTTCTTAATAATTACGATATGACTATTCTTAATTATGGCATGCTAGTTTACACTTCGATGCCTGTTTAACAGATGTTTCATGGATTTGCAAAACAATATGAAGACAACAAAAAGAAAAAAAATTGAGAAAATACAAAAAAAAAGCCCGCTGATTTTGTTTCAGGACTGTGGCTTTTTTTGGAACCGGTGGTAGAGTTAACATTGTTATTTATATTTTGACATTCAACAAGTGTGTTATACTGACATCTAAGTTGAAATAAATGATTTTGAATTTGAATTTTGAATTTGAATTTGACAACAATATAATGCAGGCGTCCGCTAGATTAAGTTCAAGATAGTTCACCATACAAAATGGCATACACGACGGGTCTACTAACTTCTGTTCTAAAACACTAACTAAAATGTGTTCTTATAGAGATTAAATACGGCACAATATCCTTTGAGCAGTTACTTTGAAGTTCTGCAGTGTGAAAATGAGGGCCATAGCCCATATATCCCGCCAAGGACACTGGGCCTCTCGGTCATCGAACTATCTAAAGCCCGCCTAGTCGATGCCGTCACTTTTACCTTCGGGATAGGCCGCTGGATCAGAAATAACGTGGCTCACCGATCGGGATCTTCCGTCACCCGATTGCACTTTCGCTAGACGCATATAAAGCAGTTTACTCGTCTTGATCGCTCCGAGGATGTTATTCGAAAAATGTTGACACATTATTTACTTCGAACAAACAATAATCGTGTGCGTGATGTAATTATGAACCGACACGACAACCCATATAGAGTATATTTGTAAGCTTTTAAGCCGAAGCCATAAAACCTACCATAGGCAACCTAGCGTGGATACCGGCATCCAATTTGAAATTTGAAGCCCATGACTAGTAAAATGAGTTAACCTAGTCTGCAAAATGATCTTATTCATTTTCCTGATCATTTTTTTATTTTTTTCGGCATTGTTGCTGCAATGCAGACTAACTACCCAAACTTTTTTTTATTGCTTAGATGGGTGGACGAGCACACAGCCCACCGGTATTAAGTGGTTACTGGAGCCCATAGACATCTATAACATAAATGCACCACCCACCTTGAGATATAAGTGTAAGGTCTAGGTCTAGTCTAGTCTAGGTTTCAGTATAGCCAGTTACAACGGCTGCCCCACCCTTCAACTGGAAGCTCATAGCCGGATAAACAGAACTAAGGATTGTAGAGACTGACCTCTTTCTTTATTTTTACTGCTCTGATAGCAAACGAGGCATGACCTGATGTTAAATACGACCACCCACATTGAGAAATGAGATTGAAGTGTCATTTCAATTGTGCAATGGCTGTCCTAACCAACTGTCAAAATCAGATATCCCTGAAGAATTAAAACGTATGACTCCTTCGCGATAGGATGGATAATGGTAGCACCATCTGGTTAGGCTGGATAATGTATCCTATCGCAAAAAAATAAGGAATTATGTCTCTTCTGGGATATTGTTTTTTTTTTGCTTATATGGGTGGACGAACTCACAGCCCACCTGGTGTTAATTGGTTACTGGAGCCTATAGACATCCACTACGTAAATGCACCACCCACCTCAGTATAGTTACAACGGCTACCCCCTCCTTCAAACCGAAACCCAATACTGCTTCGCGGCAGAAATAGGCGGGGTGGTGGTACCTACCCGCGCGGACTCACAAGAGGTCCTAGGACCAGTAATTACGCAAATTATAATTTTGCGGGTTTGATTTTTATTACACGATGTTATTCCTTCACCGTGGAAGTCAGTCATGAACATTTGTTAAGTACGTATTTCATTAGAAAATTTGGTCCCGCCTGCGGGTATTCGAACACTGTTGCATCGCTAGATTCGAATACACCGGACGTATTATCCTTTGGGTCACGACGACTTATTTGTTAGTAGCCGCATATTTTTATCTAGTACACTTTGATCTATAAACCGAAGTAGGAAAATAATAACTTCGAATAAAAAAACACTAAAAGTCCAAAGATCTATCCAAATAAATACTGCAAAGCTTCGTTAAGACAACAACTTACTTGACCGTCAGGCGCAGTATATTGATATTGGCCCTGTGCCGTCTGCGCCTCTTGTTCAGGTATTCCCTGGTTTTTTATGTAGCCCTGCTCTTCAGCTGAAATTCCGTTTCCTGTCTCGTAACTAAAAATTTAGAGCAAAAACACAACGTATGTATAATGATTGATTGAAAATAATTAATTCAATAATTCTTTCCTTGTTTCAATTCCAACAATTAACTTAATGTGATGATTTAAAATTTTAAAAATATATTAGTTTATGTAGGTGTTTAAAGAGATTCGCAAAATAATATTAATAGTAAAGTATTGATTTACTACAGAAACGTCAATATCCCATAAAAATGGAATATTTATACCGGATTTTCTCGTTTATGGGTAGAACTATAATAATTCTTAGATCATCACGTTGATTTATGTTAATTTAATATTAAAAATGTAATACTGGTTTCAATACATCAAATTAGATGATTTTTTTTTGTCAAACGTATGACCATCTTTTTTTTTATTGCCCTTGTAGGCAGACGAGCATACAGCCAACCCAGTGGTGAGTGGTTAACGTCGCCCATGGACTTCAGCAATGCCAGGGGCAGAGACAAGCCATTGCCTACAACTAAAGTATAATACCTTAGTTTAGCTTTTTTCAAGTTTTATTTTTATATCAGCTGGACTTTATCTATTTCAAGACACTGGTGAACATAATGCATAAAGCACTCTCTACCAGCCAATCAAGCTTAGTATCTATGAAGAGTGCGAAAAATTCAAATCATGCGACGGATTCAAAAAGGGACACAAAAGATTACTAGAAGAATATTAATATATCAGGCATGAAAATAAAAAAACTCAATACATACATAATAAAAGAAAATGAAAAAGGATGTTAAGAAATTGTCGAACAGAATAACCGATTTTTAATTTATCAATGACTGTATACTCGTATGTGCGTAGTAAAGTCGTCTACTTCATATCATTTATTTTAAGTTAACATATTTATATATCTTTTTTTTATTGCTTTTGTAGGCAGACGAGCATACGGCCCACCTGATGGTAAGTGGTCACCGTCGCTCATGAACGTCAGCAATGCCAGGGGCAGAGCCAAGCCGCTGCCTATATGCAACCATTTTATAATGGTAAATATTTGTTAATGGGGTGAACAAATATTAAAAGTCTCTAAATCATAAATTGAACGCTACTTCAATGTTACATCGTTCGATTAATCATGAACGCATTCTCATACAGCGGCCGAACAATAATTAATTAGTTGTGCGGCACACTTTGAAATTTCTACAGAAGTATTTTGCCTTCGTGTATTTCAATTAAAGTGAACACAAAAGCACGTTGACTCAGTTAACATATCACGTGATATGTTAACTAAGTCAGGCAAAACTTAGAATGTTACTTGAAACATAAATATTCTATACATGCATTTGTACATATTTTCTACATATTTCGACTGTGTATTTTGGTGGAGTTTAGATTTTATTCGCACGGATACTTTTTTAGAGCACTAGTTTTAAATTAAGCATATTTCGAAAAAACTTTATCTACATTCATTATTATTTTAACTACATTCAAGATTATTTTAACCTAATTGAATTATGTAATTGAATTTGTCATCACAATTATTATTTAACAAGCACCAGTGCTCGCCGAATGATCGAAATTCGACCATATTTTCGATAATCTCTTATACTATTTAAGAGATTACTTGAGAGTACTTTAATACATCCTAATATTAATTTATGTATTAAGGTTACCACGATTTTGATTCGAAACTTACATTTGAAAAAAAAAATTAAATATTATTATACAAAAACGTTTTTCTTGATACCACTAAAGCTGGTCAGTGCCAACTAAAAAGTAAATCGATAGACAAACAGAAGATGAAATGGTACTCAACTGTTTTGTCTTTAACTATTTAAAAATCGATACGTAAGGTGCGAAACAAAGTGCTAAAGTAAAATGGATTTTTTTTTAAATTTAGAATATAAAAAAACCTAGAGTAAATTAACTTTCCATATTCGACGTCCAAAATCCGGGATTTTATTACGTCACAAATACCGAAAACACATATATAAACTCGCTCAGTCCTCAAACACCATACACCGTTCACTTTTTTTTTTCTACCTATGCTACCTAGCCTTGAGAGGCTATTTCAGCTTTTCCTTAACGTGTAGGTGAGCTCACGGTGCTCAAACCGGGAGTGTTGCTAGCACTGGCCCTAGCAAGAGCAGTGCGTCGCAGAATCTACCATCGGATCGGAAACGCGACCCACTGAGAAGATCCGACAAGAAACTCAGTGGGCTGTGTCTATGGGTTAATTTACTCGTCGAGCGCTTCGTCGCAAGCGACGAGTTCGGCAAGGACGGTGACCGGTGCTTGAGATACCTAAAAGCGCCGTTAATGGATCGGGAGGATCCGTAATAAAACCGTTCACAAAGGTACTAGTTCTGACCGGAAGTCGGACCCGGCTCCCGTGCTAGTACGTAGTATAAATACTTGACCGACGAGACATTTAAAAATACATTTTTTAACAATTTAAAATCAAATATCTACATACATTTACAAACATATATTTGTACATATAAATATATACCTATATATTATTTAAAAATGAAAAATAAAACACGAAATATTAAAACACTTACCTCCACTTATATGATCCATCGGGATTGATGACCTGTTCCTGATTAACTATGGGAATAGGTTCGGTATTATGGACTGTTTGTTGTTGGTAGGTTGGCTGTAGTTGTTGTTGTTTTGCATATAATGAATTGATAGGCTGAACTTGTTGTAAATAATTCGGTTGATGTTGAAACTGCTGGAAGCTGCTTACATCAGCTAAGCCCACGGACACCAGGGTAGCTACAATAATCTAAGAACAGGGTTGTTTTTACTGTTTATGGTAAATGTTTCGATTTTTTAACCTACGCTTATTGACAAGCCGTTTAAGAACCGCTACTCGAACTATCCAATGTAAATTACTTCCCGATTGCCGTGCACACTATCAAATTACATATTATACAAACAATGGCTTTTGAAAAAGCTTAAACATCTTAGTGTGCTTAGCTTAGCTTAAACATCTTGTGAGTCCGCACGGGTAGGTACCACCGCCCCGCCTATTTCTGCCGTGAAGCAGTAATGCGTTTCGGTTTGAAGGGTGGGGCAGCCGTTGTGACTATACCGAGACCTTAGAACTTATATCTCAAGGTGTGTGGCGCATTTACGTTGTAGATGTCTATGGGCTCCAGTAACCACTTAACACCAGGTGGGCTGTGAGGTCGTCCACACAGCAAAGCAATAAAAAAAAAAATAAAAAAATAAAAAAAAAACTCGATAGAAATCATATTAGTAATGGAAAAACAAGCGGAACCTCATGCTTATTTCGAGCGCTGGGCACTATTTCGTTTCATATTTATATCATAAAAATAAGTTTTATTTTTATTTTTTATTGCTCAGATATGTGGATGAGCTCACGGCCCACCAGATATTAAGTAGCCGGAGGCCATAGACATCTACAAAGTAAATACCGCGACTCACTTCGAGACATGAGTTCTAAGGTCTCACTTTTAACTACGGCTGCCCCGCCCTTCAAACCGAAACGCATTACTACTTCACGGCAGAAATAGGCAGGGTGGTGGTACCTACCTGTGCGGACTCGCAAGACTTCCTACCACCAATAATTACGCAAATTATAATTTTACGGGTTTCATTTTTATTTTACATTCCCTTACCTAATAGTTGGTAGCCTAAGGGAATATTCCAACTTCGCGCGGACCGGTACATGAGCTCATGGTCTCAACTCGAGAGAATTGCTAACTCTAGTCCTAGCAAGAGCAATGCTTCGCTGAATCTACTACTGGATAGGAATCGCGACTTACTGAGAGATTCGACGAGAAACTCAGTGGGTTGTTTCATTACACAACTGTCCCACCCTTGAAGACAGAATCTACGACTATTTCGCGACAGAAATAGGTATAACGGTGGTAACCAATCATGCTGGCAAAATTACTCATATTATGTAAAGGTTTGATTAAATGTGCCAAAAAAAAAAGATGTATTTTAACTCACGATGTACTTCATGTTGATTCAACTGCAGTTGCAGGATTCCGAGGTACACAATGATGCATTTCGGATTCACCCCCGGTATTTATACGAAAGCTTTTTGTGGACAATTACGCATCGTTGCAGATTCTGTTCATATTTTATGAGTATATACTTATGCAAGGACAATGTGGTATGTCCCTTATTCAGTTACTGAATTGCGATGCCAACCAATCTACAATTAAATATGTGCTTTATGTTTCTACGCATAAGGCCGGTATAACATTATTAATCTGAAGTTAAAATGATAATATGAACAATAATATAAATTAACTATTACGTGAGCCTCTCAAACATGGTTTTATAGAATTTTGAGTGACAAAAATATTTTTATACACGAATCAAAGCAATTTATACTCTATCTTATTTATAAATTTTGATCATAATCTTAGAAATCCGATACATAAATACACCTAAATGGAAAATTTTACGTCCAAATGACTCGTCCCTACCTTCAAAAATCGATTAATGGAACTAGTATGCGACCGATCAACTTTAAATTCTAATCAATAGAGAACATAACTATAATAGTAAATATGTACATATTAAATTATACATAATATTATGTTCTTTATTTGATTCGTCGAAGAGGATATGAAATTCAATAGCTGTCATAATGGGGTTTGTGATATCGTCTTTTCGCATTAAAAGTGTACAATTCCCAAAAATGTTCGAAATTGAGTTAATATGCGGAATCATTTGGTATCACTAGTATTTTTCTTATAAATACTGTCAAAAGAGCGTCGTATATTTTTTTTTAGTTTTTTTTTTGTTTTTCTATATTTTGACTACTATAACAAAATTAATACATAATTTTATCTTACTTTAAAAGACAGATAATGTAACTGGTAAATAAATGTTGCAAAGATGATTAATATTAAAAAATATCACATGTTAAACCTTTAAAACACTCTCCTGTAATATTTGTAAGTTTTGAGATTATACAGCTTTAATGCGAGAAGACGATATACTGTTTTTATTACACATTTATCAAAACGAATAACTCTAAACAGTACACGTATGTTTTGTACTGATTGAAATCTGTTTTGAAATTTTGATATAATTGATGACATGCCAAGGTTTTCAAAGCCATATTTTAAGTTAAAAATATTGACGAATTTGAAGATACAGATTTATTTAAATTAAAAAATATCAGGGTCGAAAGAGTTTCGTAAATTTATTAAGGAAATTTACTTTTCGAAGTGTTTTTTTTTCTTTCCCGGAATATGTATCCGTTTTCGTTATCTATAATAACTATAATCCTAGGTTGCAGTTGTCAGAATTTCCAAAGTATGACTTAAAAAAAAATCACGAACAGATCAAATTAATGATTAGCTTTTGCGAAAGAAAGAATTCTTTGATTGTACTGTAAAAAGAGCAAGTTATCCGATAAACAATAACCCTATAAAACTTAAGGTTGGGTATCTGCATGCAGATCTGAACAAAACCAGTTGCAGTAATGTTCTTGTGACATACTTCAACGAGGTACTTTAAAAAAAAAAATTATATACAGAAATTTCTCATCAAGGCTTCACACGCAGTGTCATGTCGCAACTGATTTTAAATCATGTAATTTCACACGCTTAGTCATGCTTTAGCCACCTGCCGAACTTGAGTTATGAAAATTTCTGTCGTTTATTATATCATCAGTATTATAAATGGCCAAATTTACCTTTTATGAAGTGGAAAAACAGATCTTAATTGCTGAGACATTTACATAAAATTAATTTTAATTAAACATCAGTGAGACAATTATGATTTTGCGTTTGAAAATGTAATGTTTACGTCTTAGAGATCGTCTTACCGTATTTTATTAAATTAGATTTAAAAACATTTTACGGTAGGCAAAGGCACAAAGTGAACACGCGTGGGTACGTCTATCCTTAATCCCTATTAAGGATAGAGGTACCGAGGATTAAAAACGTTTGTTCACAACCGACTTCCACGATTGTAGAATAAGGCCATGCTATAAAAATCAGACAGTAAAATAAATAAATTTGCGTTTTACTGAAGGTAAAGTCTATGATGAGTAAATACAGGGTGTGTTACCTTCCCCTCTCCTTCCTTCCTTCGTTTAAGCAGTTATGCGTTCTGGTTTAATAAGTAAGATGACCGACCATGAGGGTTATAAGCTCGTTTGCCCATGTATGCAATAAACAATAACAAAAAATATATTAAAATTAAGTAAATAGTAGTATATTTGATTGTAAAGCTTTGAACTTTCATAGTCACATAAATCTGATTTTCCAAATTTTCGTCAGCATTTCTAGAGTAGGATGCAAGTTTTTGTTTTACAAATCAAGCATGGTCATTCGACCCTAAAGTGGGATTCCCTGTGTTATGGGTACCAAAGACTGGTATACATATATTTATATATATGTTTAAAAATATACATAATTATATAGATAATAAACACCCTGACGGAGAAGCAAACAAACCTGTTCATCACACGAACCTTTGCCCGATGTGGAAATCGAACCCTTGACCCTCGGCGTAATAGTCAGGAGCGCTAACTATTTCACCAGCGAGCTATTTCCACAATTTTTTATTTATATAACCGATTTCAAAAAAGATTCAGAAAAACAACCAAGATTAGTCCTACTCACCTACTGACTAATTGATATTGAGGTTAGCACTTCAAGAACGACACTGAGTCCAGAATTAAAACTCTAAATTGAAGAATTAATTTATAGTTTGAGTTAAATCATAGTATTTTAATCATAAAATAATATTTTTTTTCTCTGTTTTACCTTAAATTATATACCTAACAAATTCCCTGATTCATGAATGCATCGAAACTTTTTATTGTTCATAACAGCTTAGTAGAACTTCTTAGGTGTTCTTTTTAATAGTGTTTTTTGTCGTAGCATTTCTAGTTAATCATAAGATTGCTTCACTGTATTTGAAGATTCATACACAATTGAATGTTTATTAAGTCCACCAATGTGCACAATGTAAAACGTAAATGAAGAAATTCATCTAAATCATAACTAAATCAAACGGCATTCGCATTTTTATATTCTGCTTTGAATGACGGTTGAAATATCTACATCAACCAAAAGCTGTTTGCAAAATCAGAGATGAACGGTAAATGATAATTGAAACTCTCAAATCGAAATTTTAGGCTTAATGTTTATTCATCAAAACATACATAATTGAATATACAAAATTATGTAACACGTGTTTGTATGGAGCTTCGTCAATGGCCAATGTTGAAAATCAATTACGAGGATTCGCTCTTCGGTTGGATGGTACTAGGTACTGCTGTAGAGAATGGGTTGAAATTGTTGTAATATTGGTTGTTGTAGTTATTGTAGGGATTGTATCTTCCAGAATTGTAGGGGTTTCTTGAATCGTAAGGGTATCTGGTGTTGTAAGGCCGGTTGTACTGTCCAAATTGGTTGTTGTATTGGTTGCGGTAGTCCGTCGGGTTGTACCGGTTGTAGTTTGGATCGTAGACCCCGTTAACCTTGTCTACAACAACCGGTGCAACAACGGGTGCTTTACCATCACTGGGAATGTGGGGGCCGGTTGGCCTAAAGCCTGTGAAATTTAAAGGGTAAATAAAACATCAATGAAACAATTTCAATGACGGAAAATATGACGTCAGATTTTCCATGCAGACCAAAACCGGACAAAAAATTCGTACCGTTTTCATCAGCAACATAGGAAACTTGGACTGGCGTGCCATCAGGAGCGACGTACGAATAACTTCCTTGGACAACCTGTAATAACAATTTTAATAATCATATTATTTAAAAAAATCATAGAGCAGAATTCAGAATTCAAGAATTCAAAATTCAAAGAACATGGGCTATAGTAACCATCCTATTTCTGGCGCGAGTTAGTCCCGGTTCCAATAAGAACATAACAAACGTTATTGCAATGCCACCAAAATCTTTACGAGCTCCGATATCCGAAAAATACATGGAAAGCATCGCCGCTTCTGTATAAAAAATGTATCCAACGATGCGAAAGCGACTATTGTTTTCGCGATGACAAAATATTGGAGATATCTTATACCTTTAAACGAGCAATTCTTGTATCTGATAATCTGAATCTCGGAAACGGCTCCAACGACTTTCATAAAATTTAGTATACAGGAGATTTCGGGGGCGATAAATCGATCTAGCTACGATTTATTTTCAGAAAATGTTGTTTTATTCGTGTTTTCAATAATCAGCTTTATCGATAATCAACTTTATGACTCTTCCCGACATCTATTGGCGAATAATAATACCATTTTTCTTAATTGAGGGCAACTAACCGCTTTAAAGACACAACAAGATGGCGTTATCAAAAAAAAAACGAGCAAATCTCAGATATCATCTAGTTCAGAGTTATTTGTGTACCACAATAGCTCACGGACTTGAATTACTGCTTTACGCCGTAAAGCCAGTCAAGCGTTTTGAAGGAGTCTTGCTATTGCTCTAGATGCCCAGATGAGCTCACGTGGTATTAAGTCGTAAATAAACAAGTCTAGCGTTTTAAAGCAAATAACATATAAACACGGTCACATTCATTTAATTTTGTACTAATAAATCAAAACGAAGCCAGCAGAAGTCTCGCGGTGGCTAACCATTTAATACTAGGTAGGCGAAGGGCTTGTCTGAGTTTCTAAAGCAAATTAAACCAGACTTTATTATTATTTTTTATCTTCTAAATTACTTGAAATCGTTGCACTCGCAAATTCTAATAGAAAATTATAATAAATTGAATAATCTACGTAATTTTTTAATGAATCATTCATGAAATAATGTTTCTCGAGACTATTTTAAAATTATACGTTACCTGCGTTCCTTGGGGTTCACCAGCGTTGTCGACGTATGTGTCTTTCAAAAATCCGTTTTCCTGAACTTGCTTGCCATCGCCGGTAGTAAAACTGTAATTTTCAATTCATTAATGCTTGTTTGCTATAACCGTTGTATATTTTTATACGACAGCTAAAGATTGTAATTAAATAATATTTTCTGAATTTGGCATCGGTTAAAAACACGCGGTTAAAAATTGTGAATTTCATGTGAACTTTAAATTATGATTCGTTTTCGATCATAGCAGTACTTCACAGAAAAAATCTCACAAACACCCACCTGAAAGAATAAGTTCCGTCTCCGGCATTCTCGCTGGAGTACGTTAATATTGGCACATTCACACCATTATATTCATTATAGTATCCTTTATTGTAATACTGGTTATTGTAGTAAGGGTCGTAAGTCGGGACTGGTGTAGACACAACCGGTACAACGGGTGCAGTTGAAGGACTTGCTTCTGGAACGGGCAGGGTTTCCGGCTCGCCCCACGCGAAGCTACAGCAGACAACCGCTAATGTAATAAGCCGCAACATTCTGCAAAAATTGCCATATTAAAAAATCTCGTACTTCAATTCCAGCACTAATTTCCATCAACATCAAAAGTCAGCTCAAGAACTAAGAACATTTAATTTAAAAAAAATCACTTTTAATGGAATATAATATTGAATTTAAAAAAAAAATACAGTTTTAAGTTTTACCTAAAGCTATCCAACGGAATACGTTCTCAAACTGCTACTGCTGCCTCACCGTTTATATATAATCTATATATAGCCAGTAGGGTTGCTTACAACTCAATTTTTTGATTATACTATCGCACAATCGTGAGCCTCACATACGCCTTTTCGCCTACAAACACCTATTAACCGACAGTGGGAGTTATTCAAAAGCTCGAAAGACACGAACGCGGCCAGATGAAATTGTTTAGCAATTTTGAACTAAAATTATAGTTAATATCTTAACTATTTCAACTGAATTATGTTGCAAACCTAACAAGCTGCCCTATTGCGCTGCGCCTAAAAAACAGAAAATATCGTTGATTTCATTTGAATTTAAAATTTAGAACTCGATCATCCATGATTGATTTTTTTTTACTCATCATTAGTTCAAGGTTTCATAATAAATTTAATTTATTATATTTGATTTGATTAGTATTTTAGTTTTCTGGTTTTATATGGACGCCTTAATTATAGAATAGTATAATATTAATCAGATCACATCATTAACCGTTAAGGTTGTATCGTTATTATTATTTTTATGTGATATTTTCAAAAACAAATCGTAATATACTTTGTCAAAACGTGAAAAAAATATAGACTGTTTTAAAAATATTCTAGTAATATATAGATAGTCAAATTATTAAATCGTATTAACGAATATGAAAATATTATAAACAGTGCAAGAAAATTTCTAAAGTCACCACTGAAGTTGTCGGCTTAATTAATAACCTAATTTCATGTTAATTTATATATTTCTCAATAAAAACAAAACAAATACAAACTTTATTTTCATCGTTTTATCGTCTTAACCACTCAACCGATACCTACATATAAAATTTTACTTACTTTTTTCACAGGTGACTCAAAAGGACGTATAGTCACTTTAACAAAAAAAGTGTTATTCCCGAAGTATTAAAGATAATTTTTAGACGTCAGACATCGGTACCCAACTCGCCCTATTGTTACATGGTGTCTGTATTACAAAAAGACAGGAAAGATAGACGAAAATAAAATAACTAACATTCCAAAAAACGTGCCAATGCCACGCTTTTCTAAGATCAGCTGTGTTCAGCTCGTTCACGTGTGTTCAGTGCCCAAAATTTGCATCAATCAGCACCAAATGTATTTTTTATCCTTACCTATTCGTTGGTAGTCTAAGGGGCTATTCCAATGAAGTCCGGACGGGTAAGTGAGCTCACGGGTTCAACCTGAGAGAATTTGCTAACTAGGCCTAAACTAAGAGCACCGGATCGATATCGCAACCCTCTGAAGATATCTGGCGAGAAACTTTTTTTTTATTGCTTACATGGATGGACGAGCTCACAGCCCACCTGGTGTTAAGTGGTTACTGGAGCCCATGGACATCTACAACGTAANCCAATGAAGCCCGGACGGGTAAGTGAGCTCACGGGTTCAACCTGAGAGAATTTGCTAACTAGGCCTAAACTAAGAGCACCGGATCGATATCGCAACCCTCTGAAGATATCTGGCGAGAAACTTTTTTTTTATTGCTTACATGGATGGACGAGCTCACAGCCCACCTGGTGTTAAGTGGTTACTGGAGCCCATGGACATCTACAACGTAAATGCGCCACCCACCTTGAGATATAAGTTCTAAGATCTCAGTATAGTTACAACGGCTGCCCCACCCTTCAAACCGAAACGCATTACTGCTTCACGGCAGAAATAGGCAAGGCGGTGGTACCTACCCGCGCGGACTCACAAGAGGTCCTACCACCAGTGAAACTTACAGAAAAAAAACATAAAATAAAGCATGTTGTACGCGAGAATTGATTAGTGAATATTTCCCTAATGAAGCTTATAATTCCTAGTTTTTTCTTCGTCTTTAGCGAGTCGTAGTCATAATTGTAGCTACATACTTTCAACCACTCAATTTACGTTTACGACAACGAAAATCGTAAGGTTTCCGAGACGTGGAACAGAGTGAAATGGAAAAATTAAAGTAAGATTAAACTGTAAAGGTACATAGTTTCAACTATTTTAATTAATGTCGTAAATGTCGTAGAATACGAATATATTTCACAAAGGCTCCGGAAATTGGACTCTATGGTGTTATAATCAAGGTCATTAACCACTAGATCATCGAAGCGGCCGGCAGCATAGGACTTTTATAGGAATAATAGTATTTTACCTCTCGAACCATAGCGAAAAATTGCATTGCGGCTAAAATAGGCAAGATGGCGGCGGTGACGTACCGTCAGTCAGTGATCATTAAAAAAACCTTTTTATATTTTTGCTTTCTTTTGCACTCACTTTTAAACATTCATAAAATTGTTGAATTTTTATTGCTATAACATAATATGAGCAAATGAGCTTAGAACTGACAGAGTGTGTTAGCTGCAAGCATCCCCGCGAACAAAATAAGTCGTATTTACATATACCAAGACTAACGCTTACCATTTACCGATTTCAAATAAATTATGCAGCATAGGACTTAGACATACTATTCAGTAAGCCATAACTTAACTAGCTGAATACCCTGTCTTCATAATTTATCATTCAATTAAAAGAGGTGTGTAAGAAAGTATCAATAATGTGTCAATTGATACTATAATAAACTTCACGCAATCATTTTAGTGTAAGTCTCTCGGCCAAAACAGCCATTGGCTTTGCACCTTCGTCTTATAAGGAGATAAAACGTCTTTGGATTATTTAGATCGTCTGATACTGAAATTATGCCTAAAATCCGAAATCTGTTAGTAAAATAATTGTTCGCAGAGCGTGTTGTGAGCCCTGTGTCTGTTTCTGCGGCGAAGCAATAATACGTTCCGGTTTGAACGGTAGGGCATACGTTGTACTCTAGAACTGAGACTCAGAAATCATGTTCCAAGTTTGAAGGTGGCGGCATTTACGCACGGCTCTGGTAATCACTTAAAACCCAAAGAGCCGTGAATTGCCTAAGCAGTTTTTATTTATTTATTGCTTAGATAGGTGGACGAGCTCACGGCCTACCTAGTGTAAAGTGATTACCGGAACCCGTAGACAACTACAGCGTAAATGCCGCCACTCACCACGGGACAATAGTTCTAAGTTCTCAGCTGTAACAGTACAACGACTGTCCCACCTTTCAAGCCGATAAATAAAATAATAATAAGGCATCAAGGCTTTGAAACGAGGGTGCAAAACAAATACATATAACAAAACTAAAAAAAATGTTTAAAATATTCAACATGTAAAAATTAATTGAACAAACCAGATTCCAAACAAAATAAATTTGACGCATTTTAATAAAAGTAGCAGTACTCTGGGTATGTAGATGCATTCCAAACGTAGTTCCGTGGGATCTCAAGACTTTTCATAATCAACCAAACATTAATTTAATTAAAGAAATCGTAACACTGACATCATTCCCAAAATAATACTAAATGTTTTGTTTCTATCATACCATACAAAAAGATATAAATCTAATCAAATTTTAATTGCCACTGTTACATCAAATTTAACGAAGCAAATTACACGTCTTGAGTGTTTTTTAGACATTTTTTACAATGAACTCGATAAATACGTAATGTAAGTTTCACAATAAGGGGCTATTTACATGGCAGATTTATGGGTCTACGGAAGTTTGAACTCGGTTTAATTGTTTTAATTTACAATTAACTTGGCAAGGCTAGCTGGAGTTCATCTCAGTAAATTGATAATAAAATATAAGGTGACTTGGTTGATCTTCACTATAATATTTCAATATAGACATTTCAAGGTCATGTTTATGAAAGTATTAAAAAAAATTAAGGATTTTTTTCATTTGTAATATCCTATTGCCTATACGAGAGGTGTACAATAAATAGTAATAATGCGGTACATTCTTCTTGGAAAAACATTAGATATAATAAAAAAAACAACCAATTCCCTTTTGTTTTTTTTTAAGTGGAAATATTTTTCTTGCCTGGTAACGGAACGTGTTCTAAAAAATAGATAAAATTGAAGTTCGCGCGGTAAAATATCCCTAATTAAGTGTTTTTACTACGGAACTGGTAAATCAAGACTTGGGAGCAACATTAGTAGTTCATGCTCCCTATATTCTATGGTTGTACGTTGGTGTGCTGAGTTCAAGTGAGGAAGAACTTCTAATAACGACGACCCCCGCACGTAACGCCCTACATTAGTAGTAACTGAACAATTGATTAAAAAAGTTGAAAATATTCTCTTGGCGAATAGTTGTGTTACTGTTTGTTTTGTGGCACAGGAAATGAATATATTTAAAGGAAATCTACAAAATATTATACATAACCTTCTGGGTATGAAAAAAGTGTCAGGACACTGGATGCCCAGAATGCTTTCTGACGTGCAGACACAAACGGGACTGAGAATTCACAAAGCGGTTTGGATTTGTTACAACAAGATCTTGACTAACTTTTGACTCAATTCAAAACTATGGACGAAACATGGCTTCACCATTATGACCTGGAAACGAAATAACATGACTTGGAAGTCCATGACTTACTTGGAAGAGACCGTCATCTCAAACTCCGAAGATATTAAAGGCGATTCCATCCAACGGTAAGATCATGGGTTGTTTTTTCTGGTACAGCTAAGGGGTAGAAATTACCGAGCATTTAAATCATGGAGCCACTATTACAGGGACTTAGTACGCAGGACATAAAACAAAGTTGCGTGAGGAAATGCGCAAATAACTCTCCCGCGCACCAGTCCAGAGTTGCGATGGCTGTTATTCAAGAAGCTGGCTTCGAATTGAAAGAACATCCTCCATATTTACCGAACCTAGCTCCTAGTGATTTCTACCCATTTCCGCGGTAAAAAGAACATATCAGGGGCCATAAATTTGAAGATGTTTTTTTTTAATGTTTAGATAGGTGGACGAGCTCACAGCCCACCTGATGTTAAGTGTTTACCGGAGCTCATAGACGTCTACAACGTAAATGCGCCACCCACCTTGAGATATAAGTTCTAAAGTCTCAAGTATAGTTACAACGGCTGCCCCACCCTTGAAAACGAAACGCATTTCTGCTTCACGGCAGAAATAGACAGGGTGGTGGTACCTACCCGTGCGGACCCACAAGAGGTCCTACCACCAGTAATTACGCAAATTATAATTTTGCGGGTTTGGTTTTTATTACACGATGTTATTCCTTCACCGTGAAAGTCGATCGTGAACAGT